TCTCCGGACTTGGCCGCGGGGCCCAGGGACACTCCTTGGCTGTGTCCCCCGGGTGGAGGGTGACATGGGGACTCACGGGGTACTCGCGGCGCACGTCGATCTCGGCGGGCAGGACGGTCATGGCCGGGCAGCGGCCGGGCCCCTCGCTGGCGCTGGTCCAGAAGTGCGGCTGGGTGGCGTTGGCACAGTCCTGCTGCAGCGTGCACCTGGGGTGGCACTGCAGGGTCAGGTCCCCAGTGCCACCAGGGGAGCTGGCCGCCCCTGGGGGTGCCCTCCCGGGCCGCTCACCTGGTCTCCAGGGCGCACCAGCCGCAGTAGGCGTCGGCCGCACCCAGGCAGGCTGCGCAGGTGACATGGACGTCGCAGGCCGCCACCTTGACTCGGGCCATCTGGAGGCAGAGGCCAGCTCAGGGAGGCTGCCGGCCTCTCCCTGTGGGGAGGCTGGGCGAACTGAGGCCGGGGTGGGGGGCCCAGGGAGGCCAGGCTGCCCTGCAGAGGTGACGTCCCTTGGCCTGGGGCCTGTCGGGTGGGACTTACCTGGTGGGATGTCATCAGATACAGGTACCCGGGGTCCGCGGGGTCAAACTGCATGACGGGGTGCACGGGCTCCCCGTAAGCCACCGTCACCACCCTCCTGCTCACCACCTGCATGCTCTCGTTCAGGTTCACCTGCGGGGACGCGGCTGTCAGGTGGCTCAGCAGGACCCCCACCAGGAACCCAGCCAGGCTTCCCCTCCCCCCACCTAAGGTTTCTAGAACATTCTCTGGGAGGATGTCGGGGACTCGGCCAAGAACAAGGTGCTTTGGAAGGTACCGATGTCCCACCCTGAGCAACTGGCCTGTCATAGAGGGTGGGGGACAGGATCCAAGGCTCTAGGACTGTCTGTGTGTCCCCCTGGGAGGCTGAGGCAGGAGGATCCCAAGTTGGAGGCCAGCCTCCGCCATTAAGTGAGCCCTAAGCAATTTAGCAGGATCCTGCCTCAAAATAAAAAGTTAAAAAGGGCTGAGGGTGGGGTCCCGAGGTTCGGCACCCCTGGCGCCCCCCAAACACATGAATTCTTTGTAGTTTATAAAGCGTGAGGTCCACGGGAGAACAAGGAGGTTGAGGCTGGAACCATGGAGGCCGGGTGTACACAATGGGCCTCCCCAGCCCAGCCCTCGGGGGAAGCCTCCCGCCTCCCCCATTCCACCGGGTCCCTACCTTGAGGAGCCGGCCATTGACCGTGCCCAGGAAGACCACGGTGTAATTGTTGGCGCTGGCCACGGCCACGGACGTGAGCCCCGGAGCCCGGAACACGGGCGAGGACTTGAGGGGCTGCAGGATGGACAGGGGGTGCTGCAGGTGGGCGGCGCCACAGTCCAGCTGCTCTGGCTGGAGCTGGAAGAGAGACGGCAGCTCAGACCTCAGCTCGGGACCCAGCTCAGTGTCTGGCTCCTGCTGGATGCTCCTAGCTCCAGGCCTGGCCTTGACCTTGACCTTGGTCTTGACCTTGAGCTGATCCAGGGACGGACGTTTCAGTCCTCCCCATGCAGGGGAGGCCAGGAGGGTTGGCAAGGGAAGAAGTTCCTCCTGACTTTCAAGAGGCTGCAGAGGCTCCAGCCACTGGGGAGGCTGAGGCAGGAGGATCTCAAGTTGGAGGCCAGCCTCAGCAGCTTAGTGAGATCCTGTGTCAAATGAAAAAGGGCCAGGAGTGTGGCTCAGGGGTTAAGAGCCCCTGGGTTCAAATAATACATGTGTCACCATGACAAGATAATGGCAGGCCACCTTTGCTGGGAACTGTGTCAGGGCCCCGCTAAATTGCTGAGGCTGACTTCGAACCCCTGATCCTCCTGCCTCAGCCTCCGGAGCCAATGGGATTACCGACGTGTGCCACTGCGCCGGGCTAAAAGAGATTTTTGGAACTTTTCTTGTGTGATTTTTTTTACAGGCCTAAGTCACGAATGGTATGCCCAGATGTTTGTGTTTTTGTGTTTTTTTTTTTTTTTGCACAAAACCTCAGCTAATTTTCCAAAAGAAAACAATCAGTAGTGACTCCTTGTGTCCTGGGGCAAACCCACAGTGTTCATGCCTGGGGCTGCTCCCAGGGTGTCCTGGGGTGGGGCCGGAGTGACCTGGGACAAAACCCAGGACTAAGGATCCTCCAGAGGGCGGCTGTGGGCGACCTGCGTAAGTCACTTTTGCTTTTCTGAGCCTCGGTTTATTCGACTATAAAATGGGCTCATCTACTAGGACCTCCACCAGGTCAAGGCTGGAACGAGATGGTTCCTTGTACAGTGCTCCCATGGTAACCTCCTGGAAACCGTTAGTGACCCTGTTGTGTTTCAGATGTAATTTGTTGCTAATGTCATTCTGTCATCCCAGTGACTTGGGAGGCTGAGGCCGGAGGATCTCAAAGTGGGAGGCCAGCCTCAACCACTTAGTGAAGCTCTAAGCAACTCCGTGAGACTCTGTCTCTAAATAAAAATAAAAATCAATAAAAAGGGCTGGGGGGAGTTTGGCTCAGTGGTCAGGATCCCCAGGGTGCAATGCCCCGTCGTCCCCCCCACCAACAGGAACACCACGTCATCCCTCATCTCTGCCCCTTGCACCTGAGAACCCGGGTCCTGCCTCCTCGGGGTCTTTGTCCTGGCTGCTCCCCGAGAGCCATGCTCCAGCCTGTCCCTCCCATTTGTGGGGGGGACTCATTCCATGTCCCCCCAGAGCATGTCTGAAGCTGCGAACCTGCGCGGAGCCCCGGGTGGACTGTGTCCTGTGACACAGTGTCATTCACAAACCCAGGAAGAGATCCACGGTGACTAAGAATGGATCGACGACACCAAAATAGTCTGATAAGAGTGACAGGAGCGTGGTGGCGCTCACTCACAAAAACCCCATTGTGCGGTGGATCTTAGCAACCTGAAGACGGCACATGACACCTTTTCCTCTCCTTATTAAGAAACTTTACCATTTCCACTTCAAAGGAGCCCGTGCCAGCCTCTCGGGTACCGCTGAAGGGTCTGCACTTCCCTGACTCTTATTAACTAAAATATTATTAACTGAGATAATGGTCACAGGAACAACAGCCCCGAGACACTGTGACATTCATTGCATCTGATCACTGAGCCTGGCACTAAGTGCCTACCAGGAGGGTAGCGTATACAGCATGGACACTCTGAGTGTCTACCGGGAGGGTAGTGTATACAGCGTGGACATGCTGTGTACCTTCCAGAAGGGTAGTGTATACAGCATGGACATGCTGTGTGCCTACTGGGAGGGTAGTGTATACAGCGTGGACACTCTGAGTGCCTTCCAGGAGGGTAGTGCATACAGCGTGGAAACGCTGGACAAAGCAGTGATTCACACATCCCAGGCCGAAGGTTTCATCCCGGTCCTCGGAAAGGCCGGTGATTTGAAATTGATGAACTGTTCATTTCTGGAATTTTCCATTTTCTAGTTTTAGGGGACCTCGGGAGACTCTGGGTAACTGAAACGGTTGAAAATAAAAACCACGGACAAGGCTCTTTCTCAACCTCTCCCTTCAGCCTCCACCCCAGGGCCTGACTTCATCCTGTGTGTGTCCAAGTGGGGGACCAGGCCTGGAAAGTGGGTGCTCACCCTCTCCCCAGGCTGGGACCCACTCCCCAACCCCCTTATCCTGCAGGGAAGAGGTGAAGGGGGCCGAGCCAGGCCCTGCTCCCAGCTCGGGGTGACCTGGGGGCCACAGCAGGGGAGGGGGAGGGGCAGGCGCAGGCTGGGAACCGGCTCTTGACGTTCACAAGCCATTAATTCTGCACCGAAGGAATTTTCTAAAAAGCCTTTCCCCCAACTTTTTTTTTTCTTTATCCTAAAAATAAAATCTTAAAAAAAAAAAAATTTTTTTTTTTCTTTCTCTTTTCTTTTTTTTTTTTTTTAAAGGAGAAGTCAGACTTCAGGAGGCTCCTAATGATCTGTGCTCAGAGAGGAAGCGGGTGGCCTCTCTGCCCCGGGAGATCTGCAGGCTGCAAAGGGATCAGAAGAGGAAGTTGGGATAAGGGACCCCCCAGCCACCCACCCCACCCCCAGGCAGGCAGGAAAGGCCTCCAGGAAGGGACCCAGCAGCCTCCCTGAGTCTGGCCTCCTCCAGCGGCCTCCCTGAGTCTGGCCTCCTCCAGCGGCCTCCCTGACTCTGGCCTTCACTGAACATGGTCCCTGGGGAAACTGAACCCACAGGCCCCCCAAGTGCCATCACGCTGCCTGAGATTCCCGCCCCAGCATGGCCCTGCCTTCACGTCCCCCTCCCTGCGAGCAGGAGCCAGCCTGGACTGTCCCCCCACAGCCCCCAAAGTTCTAGAAAGATCCAATCTGAAAGGCCCAGCCTTCCTCTGCAGCCCACAAGCCCAGCTGGGCACTGTCCCGGGGATCAGGCCCCCGCCCTCCAGCCTGGCACCCGGGGGACCTTCGTGATTCCTCTCTGGCCAAGGACTCAGTCTCAGTCTCAGCTCCTCCCTCGGCCCTGCCCTGGACTCCAACCTCACCAATCTCCGCAGCAGTTCCTCAAACTTTGCCAAGCTGTTCCCTCGGGCAGCCAGTGTCCTTCCCAGACGTCCAAGCCATCCGGGGTGGACACTGTGCTCCCTGGGGTGCCTACTTATCAAGGGAGGGGGGGGGAAAAGACCCTAATTTTGACTAAAGTGTGAATGACTACATCCAGCCGTTTGCATTCAGAGGCAGAGGGATGGAGAGCCACGCCGCTGGGTGCAAGAGGATCCAAGGGAAAGAAGAAAACATGCCTACTGTGTGCCGAGCAACATCCGGAGGGGCCCCGTGAGGAGCCCCCAGCAAGCTTGTCTGGGTTCCACTAAGAACCTTAGTTTCTTCTTCTCTAAAATGGGGTCAAGGCCGTGGCCACGGGCCTCAGCTCTTTCCTGCGAGCAGGATGGGCCTCCCTCTGGAGCGGGCGGCCTCCTGGGGCCTCCGCTCAGCTCTGCCCTCTCTCCCATTAAAACGCTGACATTATCGATTTCCTGAGCAGCTGCAATCGCGTGGATTTTCTCTCCCCAGGAAGCCGGACTCCGCGGGCCTCACATCCTGCCCACAGACCCCAGCAAGCCTCAGCCCCCCACTCCCGGGCACTCAGAGAGGATGAGGCCGGGCGCTGGGCGCTGTGGCAGCTGTGGGCCCTGTGCCCAGCGGTCCCTTCCCCTTGCTGGAGCATTAGGGGGCCGGTTTGGGGGTTCCAGGCCTCCCGAAGCTGGGCCCTTTGATCCCCCTCCACAGTGGCCCCCAAAAAGGGACCATTTTATTTTATTTTATTTGTACAAGGGATGGAAGCCGGGGGACGCTCTAGCACGGAGCTACACTCCCAGCCACCCCTTTTTTTTTAAATCTTGTATTTTGAGACAGGGTCTCACTTTGTGGTTGAGGCCGGCCTCCAACTTGCCATCCTCCTGCCTCAGCCTCCCCGGTAGCCAGGATTCTAGGCCTGTGCCACCGCCCCTGGCCCGAAAGGAGCTTTGAGAACTGCAGATCAGTAAAAGTGACATGAGGTCCTGGAGAAGGGGAAGGACGTTTGTGGAATAAACTTGGAGTGTGGCTGAGGGTGTTGTTCGGATGCTGGTTTCTGAGTTTGCACAAATGTTTCATGGGAAAGTGGGATGTTAGCCACAGAGGCCTCTGGGGGAAGGGTACACAGGGACTCTCTGGACGGTCGTTGGAACTTTCCTGTAAATCAAAGATTATTTCATAATAATAATAAAAAAAAAAAAAGCCGGGCGTGGTGGCGCACGCCTGTCATCCCAGCGGCTTGGGAGGCCGAGGCAGGAGGATCATGAGTTGGAGGCCAGCCTCAGCAACTTTGCAAGACCTTGTCCCAAAATAGAAAATAAAAGAAGGGCTGGGGGTGTGGCTCTGTGGTCGAGGGCCCCTGAGTTCGGTCCCTGTCAGAGCAGCTGCCACCCTGGACGCTGGACAGGATCCTGCCCACGGGGACCTTTCACCCGGAGCCCTGGAGGCTCCCAATAAATGTTCCCAATTAGCTGCGAGGCCCGGTCTCCAGTGTCCCCTCCCCTGGTCCGCGAGGAGCCAGGCCCTCCCAGCAGCCCAGGGCAGGCAGGCAGGTGGGGGACAGCTGAGGGTCCATCTTGGAGGCCCTTAAAAGTATCCACCAACGTTCGGCCCGTCAACAGCCACGTAGCTCTCATTCGCACAGAGACGTGCAGTGACTTGTTCAGGGACACACAGCCTCGTCCAAACCTCCCATGCCGACAGGCTGGCTCCAGAGCCCTGGTCCTCAAGTGACCACTGGCCCCACACTCAGCTCCTGAAGAGCTGGAAAGGCCCTGGATTGGAAGATACAGAAATGGAGGCCCATCAGGAGGCAGCAGCTTCTGGAGACCTCCAAACACAGAGGCTGGGCAGAGGCCAGGGAGAGGCCCCGGGTGCCAAGGT